CTTAAAGTTGGTTAATTTCAGTCAGACAATCATTTGCGACGAATGCTGACCTGCCATGTTTGTTTACTCTGCGCCAGCAATATATATTCATAAAGGAAGCACTTTAATGGCATGGAAAATTAGACAGGATTTGCCCACGCATGTTCTAATTTATATACAGTGAAACCTGTATTAAGCAGACCCCATATTAAGTGGACACCTTCTATTAAGTGGACACCAGGTCGAGTCCCTAAATTTTCTTCCCACATTTACTGTAAAATAAACCTGGATTCAGTGGACACCTTTTTAAGCAAACACAGACACAAATATTAAGCCATTTTGTTACTCAAAACCTGCAATAAGCAGACACTTCAAGGGCTTTTTACTTCTAAAAGCTCAGCTCAGACTCCCTTTATCATTGTTCAGCGATGTCGTTTTTAAGCCAAGTAGATTATTCCAGATTGATGCATTGACTGACTGGACACTGTGCTATGAGCAGTCTTTGATCTCACACTGTGTTACACTGTGTTACACCGTGTTACACTGTTACAAAAGGGTTAATAATTAGCTATTATTGCACAATACATTAGAACCTGTTTAGAGTGGATACCCGGTATTGAATGGACACTAATGAATGTCCCAAGGGTGTCCGCTTAATACAGGTTTCACTGTTAGTAATAATTAACACACAAACAATGGAAATTTTTATTTCTTCACTAGTTAAGTTGAAAACTAGTTGCAAAATTGTGGCTGAAGAGGAGGAAGTTTTAGTTGCTGAACATTTAGTCACAAATACATATGGTCATATTGGTTGCAATTTCAAGCCTGTAGACAGTTGGTAAACTTCTGGGAAGATTTAAAAGCTGAAATCTCTTTCGTTGGAAGTCCTATGAAGTCAAACTAGGATTCCAGATGGTTGAAGAAAAAAAATGGAAATCCAGAAAGGGGTGTGTGTGGGGGGGGAGGGGAGGGGAGGGGGGGTGGGGGTTAACGAGTTTGGAATTGGAGGGCATTGGGGGTAGAGCATTTTGGAATTTCTGAAGGCAAGGGGGGGGGGGGTGAAAATGTTCATGCCGCCTGTGGTGGGGTATGGATATTTTCTGGAAATTTATCAACCAATATCAGAGCACTAACAAATGTGTGTTACTTCAGCATTGTTGTCAAAATTCCTCAAATAAACAGGTTTACTAGTCTGCTATAAACAGATCTACTAGTCACAAAATTAATGATGCTAATCTCACACCATTTAAATACTTCTCAGTAAAAGTTGATAACATTTGTTGTAAGAAATCAATAAACAGAATTTGTCAATTCCTATACATTATAAGTAGTGAGCAGCCTTCTTGTTCGTCATCTTTTCACATTTAAAGTGACTCTCTGTGTGGTTGGTATTTTACAGGGGTGTTAGAATTTTAATCACAGTCATTGATTGTAGTCTTGTTTTGTCAACATTTCTGTCTTTTCCTGTTGTTAGACAAATTCTGCTTCTACGCCTCTCTTGCCTTCTCAGGCTGGTGAGCTGGTAGGAAAGTCTCTCTCTTTATTCTTCTCTCAAAGCCCTTTGGCCATCATTGCAGCTTAGGCCTGCCATTTACTCATTGTTTGCTCACTTTATATATTGTTGTCTTTGTTAACTATCTACATTTTGATGTAATTAACTTTATGCTAACTGATCATGTAAACCTCAATTATAAACACTAACCACTTGGTAAATAAGTAATATTAAAAAGCAGAATTACAATCTAAGCTTTACATGCATCATAAAAAGTTTATATCCCATAGTTACTAGATAATATATGAAATAAACTTCAGCTAACAGCTGGTAAAATGTCTGACACATTGTTATAACATCTGTTATTAAATGGATTAATAAGAAATCAATGTATATTAGCTAATGTTACAGTAAAAGTAATTCCCTAATGTATTGTTACCCTCTTATACAGAGAACTTTGTGTAATGATGCCTTTTTGATCCCGTCATAAGTCATGCAGAAATCCAATACATTTACTTTTAAATTCATGCATTGTTCCTTAAGTTTATGATGTGGTAAAATTGTAACACATTTACACACATATATTGAGAAAACAAAAATGTCCCTTGAAGAAACACAGATAGAAATATTGTTTTTGATCCACATGTCTGAGAAGGACAATAAGTTATAATACGAAATGCTGCCTCAAAATGTACAGGCAAAGGGAGTGGGGTAAAGGAGGGGACGTGATTGAGCAACTGCTTTCTTGTTTCCTGTCATCCATTCCCTTGGCCTAAGCCCAAAGTGCTAAATAAACTGAATAATCCCAATCTCGCTGGATCTCTGACTGATCCAAAAATGCAAACAAATTTGGTGATTGGTTTTCTATTTCAAGCAAGCTACATTGGATCCATGTGCATATTAACTATCCAGAGTTTTAGGAAAATCTATCAAAACATATACCCATCAGTGTTAGGTCAGTGCATGAAGACTTAAACAATTTCAATAATTATGATTTTACAAGGAAAGTCTTGGCTTGACCATAATCAGATCTCAAAAAATATTTAATAGTTACATTAAATAATTGAATCTTTTTTTCTAGGCATTGGCTACAACTCCAACTTCGTCACCAGAAGACTTAGGTCCCCTCCCTGGTCCTGTTAAAACCCAAGGACGTGACAAGCCTGATTATACACTAGTTACTTCTCTCCTCAACCTGTCAAAGAGTGAGGTAATGATGTTTTAAAACATAGCTTAGTATACATATAGACTTTATGGATGGAGTTATTTTATGAAGAATTGTTCCACATCTATTGATTTATTTCCTGCCTGGTACTTGAATTCAATAAAATCCTACTTTACTCTGGGTTGTTACATGTGGAAGTTCTTATGGTTATTAGTATTAAATTAAAAATTAAGCTAAATTTATGTGATGTTTGTTTACTTTCAGGACAGCAGAATAGCAGTGAAGGCTTGTGAGGGACTTATGCTTTGTGCATCTCTTCCTGAGGAACATGCGGCCACTGTTATTATCCTGTACACACCATTCTGTGAAGTCATGGTTAGTACATTTTTAATTGATGAACATAATCGATTTCAAACGATAAAAGCGTAAAGCTTGTTCTTTGATAAGAGGTATATACTATATTTTAATTGTGCACTTTTTTTAACTCTTCAGGCAGACAGGCTTAAAGTGTTATTTGACGCCTTGCCAAAGAATATGGAGCCACTGGATATATCTGCTGTTGCCGCCAAGTGGGGGTAGGTCAACAACACTGTTCATACTTGATTTGAAAAGTTGCTTTAGGTTGTTTCTAAGGTAAGTGTCTATATTTCACTTGCAGGCTTGACCATCAGAGTGATGATGAAGATGTGTTATCATTTCCTGGAAAAAGGCAATTGATTTCTTTTCTCTCCTGGTTGGATTATGTTGACCAGCTCTCAAAAGAAGCACACAAGGTTAAATTAAATTAAATTAAATATCTTAATTGACCACTCCCCCAATGGGGTTTTTCAGGGCCAATGAAATCAAATGAAACAAATAATGCAAATGAACATAACATGGTTAAAAATCCTAGCTGGTGGGAGGCAGACCAGTTGGCTATTTACAACCATGACTGAGGAGTTGAACTAGGGTCTACCGAGAAACAACTCCAGCTAAGTGGTCAGAGCGGGACTTGAACCCACGACCTCCAGACCTCCACTCGGCCACGCTGCCTCCACCTATTTATACACCTATGTAGAGAGTGACAACTTAGGTGAGAGTACAGAGTCTTGTGCCAAAACAAAGTTAGGATGTCAAGAGCCAGGGCTCAAACCAACACCACTGCACAGTAAGGCCAACATGCCAACATGTGCATCTTAGCTGAATAGACAGTGATCACTATAAATTCATGTTAAAAGAGGAAGAAACCCTTCTTCCCTGTGGGGAGGCATGTTGGCCTTACTGTGCAGTGGTGTTGATTTGAGCCCTGGCTCTTGACATCCTAACTTTGTTTTGGCACAAGACTCTGTACTCTCACCTAAGTTGTCACTCTCTACATAGGTGTATAAATAGGTACCAGCAAATTTAATGTCCCATCCAATGCTATTGAAATTGGAGATAAACACAGGGGTTTCATTAACATTTTCAGTGGGAAGGCAAGTGGTTTTCACCGGGGAACAGAACTTTTTGAACTGAACTTCTTTATAAGAAAAACTTTCGTCAAGATGGTTAAACCAGGTGGGCAAAATTGTCCCCACAACCAGTCAATCTGCCTGGTGCCTTGCCCTTCATGAAACTCCTGTTAATACCAGCCTGTTGTTCACTAGCCTCAAACACAGAGGTTGCCTTTACCTCACCTGCCAATAACAAGTTGTCAATAGTAATGGTAATAAACTTATACAGTGTATTGACTTCTCTTGCATAGTTGGTAGCCAAAGCTCTAGCAGTAGGAGTGAGAGAAAGATTTCTCCAGACAGTCATTGAACCTGGTCTGATCCAGCAGTGAGTTTTTTTTTTATCAATGTGGTGCTTGTATTACTTTGCTAAGATTACTATCCACTCTGAAGAACATGATTTTGTTTAGGAGTTTCTCAATGTTGATTACTTGGATCTAGGACTATGATCAAAATTCAAGTTAAGTTTAAAGTCTTGTGTTTCCTTGGTACTATTTCAGTTTTACCATAACTGTTAGAACTTTTCCAAGATGCGTTTTGTTAGCAAAAAATTCAAAATGTCAAGAGATGTGTCAATATTGGTGTTTCTTGGGTTTATAATATTATTTGCATTGTCCTGTGTTCACCATTAGATCAGAACTTGGGATTATTACCACAACTGCAGTGTTAAGAAGATGTGTGAAAGCTGTCACCTCACCACAACTCCTTCAAGGTACATGCAAATACATCTAGATTTCAGTGATGGCAATGTAATTATGCATTGTAACTATCGAGATGAGGTCAAAGTTAGGGTGCTTACATTCTTACATGTATCACTATTTGGGTCAAATGATTGAACTAACAGAGTTGGTCTTGTTGGTAGCAGGACAGATGAAGTTTGTCTGCCATACAACTGTATTTAGTATCAGTGATTTCTTGCACTATTTGCCTATTTTATAATTGAAAAAAAGTCTGTGCTTTCTTTGTTCTTAAATACCATAAGAGAACTGGTTATTGCAGTGCTGGTGCAAAGCAGGGACAGTTCCCTCCCTCACTTTCAAACCGCCTAGGCTAGCTTGTCAGTTTCAAGAAACAATAAAACCCTGGCTATTCAGGTATGTCAGAGCATCATATAGTTATTGAGAAACTAAAGTTAGTTAAGGAGAATTCTATTTGATCTATTTCACAGAAATGTGTATATTTCTCCTTGGTGAAGGGACATTGCCAGAAATTACATCTCATGAAGGAGAACATAAATTACGGCAAACACTTATTGAGAGATGTGATCACTTATCTGATGAGGTGAGAGAACAAACTTTGTAAAAATAATTGCACCTTTTAGTTTAGCTTCTCTTCTTCAATGTAAAATGGACGAGCAGGCTTTCATGAAGTGTGGTACCTAAAACATTAAAACAAAGGATCTGAAAGAAAACAGGAAGTAAACAGTTCAAGTCCCCAGGGGGAGTCAAACCCATGACCTACCAATTGGAAGCTCTAACCACCAATCTACTAGAGACTTATGCACATGGTGAGCAAGGCCATTTACTGCATTCTTTAAGATAATTAAATATTCTGACCAATAAAAGTACAGAGAAGAAGTAAAGGAGATTCAAGAGCGTAATAGTTGGTACAGTATGTCGGGCTTCAGATTAGGATATTGTTTTTAAGAGGAACCAGTGAAAATTGCTGACACTTTGCTGTATTTTTTTCTCAGGTCAGTATAGAGACACTGAAGCTGTTCGAGACATTACTCAACAAACCTTGTGACTTAATTTTGAATAACCTTGTTCTCCGGAACCTTAAGAGTAGAAAGTACTTTGCCACACCTAAAGTGACCAATGGAGATACGTCAAGTAATGGACCTGTGACAGAGAGTTTGACACCAGCGTCACTTGTTACTAAAGTCCCACCTTCACCAACATCACCTTCCTCTCCTCCACTTACTCCAGATGGGCTGGGACCAGCACAGATTGGCAATGACATTGACAGAGAAGAAGTGGAACAAGTTGTAAATAGGTACAAACCTAGCCAAATAAGTCAGCATCTTTGAACCATTTACCTCCTAAGCCAAACAACAGTTTTCCCAAATAGGCAAATAAAGATTCTCTACCTGTGTACAATGTACCATTTGAAAGCCACTGGTCAGCTTATTGAACAATTGACATCATTAAGACATGCAATGTAGGGAACTATGTGGCTCTAGCCCTTTGTACGTATTGCAGGCCTGTTTTTGGATGAGAAATGCTTTTAGAGATGAAAGATATGAAGTCTTGTAGACTGATGGACAGATTCACAAGGTCTCCAGAGTACATGTAACAAGTCAAGAGTCCTATTTATTACACCTATGAAGATGAAGTACAGTGGAGACAGAAGAAGCACCTCCCCCCTCCCCCCAGAAAAGAGATCTACTGGCTACTAATTTGTGACTCATTATTTGGTGAAAAAAAACATGTTCAAATAACAGGAAACAGTAAACATTTGTTCAGACTCCGGTGTATTTTAAAAGGTATCTTTTACAGTTTTATTTCTTTAGTACCTGATGAGATAAAGACGTCAGCCTTAACAGGAGACACTGGCTATGACACTTACTTAAGAGATGCCCATAAACAGGTACACTTTGCTGTACTATTAATTTTACCTCAGTTAAATTAGTTTTGTTAACAACCCATCACAATAAATCTGTAACTTATCTGGTCAACCTTTGTATTTGCAGTGCAGTCAGCGTGCTTTACAGACTGTTACTTTCAACTGGCCTTCAACTCCAATCCCTCTGCATGGTAGGACAATAATTTATGTATCCAGCTCCTGTACAAATATGTTTTTTTCCAGACGTTTGCTATTGACATATCCACTGTTGTTTTATTTTTAAGATGTAGAAGACAGCAGAGAAAATTTTTATGAAGGTGTATTCTTGAGCATGCTGTTTACAAAACTGCAGAGACTCCTAGATCAGGTATGATGTTAAAAAAATAGTTATTGAATGAGGCTAGCACCAGTATCCCAACAGTCCAGCACATTGAGGTTGAGAAATTGCACAATGGTTTGCAGATCCCCACATTTTTAGTGGCTGATTTTAATACAAAAATTGCTATCTAAATCCAGAATCATTATTAAAATTTAACCATGTATCAGGCAATTTGGCCTTAAAGTTTGAAATGAACAAGAGTCAGCAAAATAATAGCCTACTGCCTCACAATGTGCAACTCTGATGATTCACAATGAGGCATTTCTGAAGACACAATCCAGAACACTAGTAATCTCATGCAGGCCAAATTTTCCAGGTTTCTATAGCATGAAGTGACTAGGAGTATTTCTACCCCCCACCCTTGGATGGGATGCTAGTCCATCACAGGGTTACCCTGCAGCATTAAATTTGCTGTTACCCATTTATACACCTGGGTGGAGAGAGGCACTTTGAAGGTTAAGTGTCTTGCTCAAGAGCACAGCTCAATGTCCCAAGCCATGGTTCAAACCCAGGCCACTTGACCTGGAGATGAATGCAGTGACCATGAGGCCACCATGCCTCCACAGTAACTTCATTTTAGTATATACCACACAAGTGAATAGTGCTTTTTGCGCACTCTGATTGGTTAACTTGGAGGTGTTTAGCAAGTACTATTCACCTCCAAGCAGCTGGCGTGAGAGGTTTTAAAATTTCCGATGGCTTGTCACACATAAGATAATGTTTTGGTCCGCTAATTATTCAGCTTGTGTGGTACATACTAAAACAATTATTCACCTCAGTGTTGGTGAAAGTGATGGATATTTACCTCCACTTTGGTGAATAATTGTTAAATATATTTTTTTAATAGCTAATGAGTAACCTCATTAGCTATTAAAGAAAATATTTAGATGTTTGGTTTCTTTGACCAAAGAAGTTAACTCATAGCTTTTGTCATTTATAGCCATATGATGTGAACCTTCAGGTGACAAGTGTGATAGCACTGTTAACTCAGTTCAACCATCCTCAGCTGCAAGAGTTTCTTCTTAGTGCTTCCTTGCCTCTAGCACCTGACTGTCGCTCTCTTCACTCCACTCTTCAAAACGTGAGTATGAAATAAAATTACAAAGCAAAGGATTTCACTTCCTACTTTCAATTAACTTTCTGGAATACCACTTGATGTGTATGTACATTGGTCGATCCTCCTCACTTCATGTGGCTTTGTCTGTATTGCAGTCCCCAACAGATGGCTCAATAAGGAGGAAAACTTAATTGGGACCTTGCTCTTAAGTTTTTTTTCATGGTTTGTTTTGACATTTGCAGGTTGTTCAAGATCTAAGAGGTAGAATACAAAGATTGCCAAACTTTCAGAGAAATGTTGTGTCGGTTAGAAGGCAATTGATGGGTGTTGCCACATCACCTGAACACAAGAGGTATAATTTCTTGAAGCTCGTCTACTTGGAGATTGACTTCACTTGATTAAATACCCATACCCTTAAATGTCACCCTTGAACCAAGAGTAAGGAAGATCTTTTTGCAACAAAGTTGCAAATGACAAAACTGCTAGGCCAGAAAAAGTAGTAGATCATTAAATTAGAACCTATTCTACACATGAATACCGCCCTTTGTTCCACCAGGAACATAATGGTCTAAACTAAACTCTATACATGAATGCATAACACAGTCACAGCAGTATTAAATTTAACAAATATTTTATCTTTTCTCTAGTCTTAGTGAAAGCAATCTTCTCGAAGCTGCAATAGTACTGGAGGAATTTTGCAAGGTGAGAAGGATATTGAATTACCAGCAGAAGCTAGTGGATCTTTACGTCAACTTCTCTGTATGATAGTTGTAAACAAAATAACCTATCGGTAGTTTCTGTTCATTTAATTTTACTGAGTTCATTTCATTTTTTTTCTGTACCTTAATAAGTGTCTGTTACTTTTTGCCACAGGAATTAGCAGCCATTGCATTTGTTAAAGCAACAGAGAGAGTGCAGGGCCGGTAACAAGACTTCAAGAACAGAGTACAACAATGGCTATCAACATCTAACCAATTGAGCTTCTGTTAAACACAAGGAAGTGTAAAAGCCTACAGACCAAGAGAGACTTGGGGCTTTTAGTGAACTGCTAGTTGCAATCATAAGCAGAAGTTGCAAATGTTAGCATATCCGGGAGTCAATTCAAGCAGCTTTATGTTTGGTGTAGGATGCAAAATGCAAGGAATAATCTTGCAACTGTTTGCAGACCATAAGCATTTGTTTTTGAATGGTATTCTCCTGTTTAATCTTGATTTGTTCACCATTCATTGGGTGTATGAATGTACACACACTTTTTTCAACCTTCTGCAGCCCCTTCATTGCACCAAGATCCCATGAAATTATTTTACCTACATTGACTTGTTATTGGCTAATGGGTCACAAACCATTCCCTGTTATTTATTTTACTCTTAGTATGGAAAGAAAAAATGACAGCAAATTTTGATTTTGATACAAACTGTGTGTTCACTTAATTAACTATGATAAACTATAATTTAACTCTCCTAGGGATATTCAAAAAGAAAGTACATAATAATATAATTATTTCTGAAATGGTTGCAATTACTGTACTGGCAATGCTTATTATTGCCAGGACATTATTACCAGGAAATTTTTTGGGACTGAATTAGATTTGGTTGGTTTAATTGGGAACTAGTAGAGTAGTAGTCGCAAGGTTTATACAAAGTCTGGAAAAAATTAACATCCTTATTATGTGAAATCTTGCTTCTGAACATCAACTTCTTTTACACACTGTTGTCATCACAGTTCCATCTGAAGGAATCTTGCCAGGAAGAAATTTTATGGGTTTCTGGTAGAAGTCACATTTAGTAGTCAAGTCATTGAATCAGAACAAACCAGTGCATCAGCTGGCACACAATAATATTGGTCTTAGAGGATGCGTTCTTGTTGGCGAATGGGTGAATTTTAGGCATATTTTTATTACATTTGTTTGCCATCACAAAGGATGGATTGCTTCATTTGTATCAAAGAGATTACTAGTTAAATCTATTATCGTGTTGAAAAGAAACAAAGTCATGCTATATTAAGGAGATGTATCAGTAAGAGATATTTGTAATAAAAATATTCACTGGGAACTAAGCAAGTCTCTAGATCTTGTCTCATTTCTTGTTAGAAATATTAAATAAGTCAAAAGCGACAAGAAGCACTGGTAGAAAGAGTGGAGAAACTGTAGCTACATAAGATATTTTGTGGGTGGTCATGTAATTCCTCTGACTGGTATAATTTGATGGGTGGTAGGTGGCAAGGGGAGTAGAGAGGTAGAGAGGTAGACTTATGACACAAATCACAAACCATGACTTGGACAAGGACAATATACATGTCATTATCATAACCAGTCAACTTGTCTTACAATACTCCCAGCCTTGTCATAATGTGTGACACAACGAAAGCGGCAAATTTGAACAATTTAAAACAGTGCCAACAAACCGCCAGGGACTGTATTTGTTTTCACTAATCTTTGAAGGCAGATTTTTTCGATTCAGAAACCAGTGCACATATAGTAGATATCAGGGATAGTTTATGTCCATAACCTTAAAGTTAAATCAGTTTAATGCTTGTTTCCTTTCAAGAATATATCTAATATACAATAAAACATAACAAAGTGCTGCTAAAAACATACAATGTACTTGTTGGATTACCATCTTAGAGGAGGGAGGGGGTGGTGCAGGGGTTAGTGTTTATTGCAAGAAATAAGTTCAAATGGTAGAATTTAAATTCTACTTGTAATCCCCAAGTACATGTACATTCTGTTCTAATCTGAAATGTTGTTGTCTTGCCCTCAAACAAGTACATGAGTGGATTTTTTAAGAGGGAGGAAAGTGTGTTTTGCATGTGCTACAATTGTTTTGAACAAGCCTGTCTCACCCTTGCAGTGCACAAGAGCATAAAAATCACTATTTTGGTTATGACACCGTTATCCCACAACTTCAGGTTGGATGGTGAATTTGAGATACTGGTCACCTCTCTTAACCTCTACATTAAGAGTTTCTCCTTTGTGTACGTGCCGGTACACTTCTTTGTTTGATACTATGTTCTTGCCATTCATTTTGGTTATGATGTCACCAGGTTGCAAACCAGCCCTAAAAGATAACAACCATCATCTTGAGATTAAATCTATAACAAAGGTTACTTTATTCAATATATTATTGTCATGTTATGGGCTACTGAGCAAAACTCTTAATTGTGGTAAATTATCAAAAAGACAATTAACACTTTTATAGTGAGGACAAACAAACAAACAATAAACACTAGACATTTCCAGTGTGTTTTTGGATGATTGTTGTTGAAATAGCCCTCACTGGATACAAATCATCCAAAAAAATGCACAAAACTGTTTCCTGTTTCCTCAGACTCAATGATACACTTCTATAACATTTGATGCACCTGATTTACTTTGCAACTGGGCAATGGATGTTGTCCATGTGAAACTTGTTTGTAAATTTTGGTGTGGTGGTGTTTTTGAAATAATCTCTTGCTTACTTTTCTTTCACATGTTAAATCCCAGCCATTACTAACAGCATTTACAAATCATACTTCCACAAGTACTCACTTATGTGCTGGGGATCCATAATTCACTTGTGGGACAAACACTCCAGATTCAACTTTGTTGAAACTTTGGTCCCTCCTCCACAGTTCTTCTAGAATCTGTGGAGTCAATGTCAACATACTGACTCCAATATACCAGCGCTGGTTTGGACCTAGTGTTCTCCTTGAAGTTTTACTGCTGCTGCTTGCGTATTTACCACTCTTTACTCTCTCTATAGCTTGGGACAGAAAGTCTTTAGCAGTATCAATTGGGATGGAGAACGAAATTCCAGCAGCAAATCTCACAGTTATGGCATTGATGCCAATAACATGGCCATCCTAATCAAAGGGAAAATTGAAATATTTGTATTTGTATTTTTTTTATTTCAATCTCCCAAAGTGAAATACTACAGATGCTGCCCAATTCATGGTCTTTCAGAAAATATTGTTCGGATCTCTACTTGGTCCCAGCGTGCAAAAGGAAGTCATGTCCAATAGCCCTCTGCTGGTAGATTTTGTAGTGGGCTAGTGAATTCTGTTTTTGAGGTTTCTTCGAAAGGGTTTTGGGGAAATTCAAATTACTGAAGTACTGTAAGAGATGAAACTTTTCAGGGCTGGTGAGAATGATTTTTAGGCAAGTACATCATAGTTATGGCTTGCAAGCACAAAAGGCAAGCCCCAAAATTGGTTCTCTTTGCACCCTGGGCCCAGACCACCACACTGAGGTTGTTACAATGTGGGGGTGAGGTGGCTGGCAGGTATTCAGTAGTCTGAAGTGCTGTGCCAGACAGCATAAGTTCTCTAGCAGTAGGGCCAACTTCAGTAGATAGAAACTGTAAGAAACACAAAAAGACTACCCTAAGGGGAAGAGTTGAGGTTTGAAGGTAATACACTGTATATAGATTTAGCCAAGCCTAAAAGCAGAGCTCCTGGGCCGGGTTTTTCAAAGCCCGATTAAGCTAACCCGGCCAGCTAACCCAGCATAAGGGAGAATTTTGACTTGAGTTTTGTAACTTTGCGGTGTGGTTTTTGATTTATATTGTTTGGCCTTCTGTTTTGAGTTTGAACAATCTCAAACTACACAAAATAAAAGAAGTGAAAAACATTTTTGAACAAGAAAAATTTATATTTGGTTAACTTTTAATCCTGGGTTAGCATTAACTGTCTTCCAAATAACCTGTCCCTGATTGTGACAAGTTAACCTGACACGAGCCTGCAATCCAAACAAAAACCAGCACTTGGTCAACAGTCAACTTCAAAAAACATGTGATCTTGATGAGCTCTAAACTTGAGCCCGCATGCAACATGGTCACGTGATACTGGTCAGCAAATACCTTGTTTTGACAGGTGTCAACTGACCATAACATGGATTTCCAATATCAAAGAAGTATGCTATAAACCAAGGCTGCATGTCTCTGTCAACCAATTAGGCTGCTGGTGTATGGCCGCCACCTTGCACGACTCCGTCACTGCTGTTGTTATTGTCATGCGTATGCGCCTACAAGCGATACTGCTAGCCCTGATAACCATGAGAAAATCAATTCATGGGTTTCCTTTTTTTCCTATATGGCTATGGGGCTCCGCTTGCAAATTGGTGGACCTACGGGCCGCTGGAGCTCTGCTATTACTGTACATTACTGAAGTTGGTAGTAGGTCCACATCAGCTGTACAGTTGCTTATTTTAAACCTACTTATCAAATAAACGTATGTATGTATGTATGTACGTACCGATCGGCACTCAGCCAATCATTGCAGAATAAAAGAATTCTCATTGTGTATTTTCATTAAGTACTCTATTACAGGGGAAGCAGATTAAAATGTGTATCTTTAACATCAAGTCAATTGACTCACCAGATTAACCAAAGGTCCTCCAGAGTTTCCCACCTTCAAAAAGATATAACAAAAATATTCATCTTGAAATAATGCCATCATTTCACCACCTATTTCAATTATTATAGACAATGGAAGGGAAGCCTTTATACTATAGCTGGGTTTAAAAGACCAGCAACTTTTTTCCCAATGAATATCAACCAGCAAAGTTAATAGACAGTTCTATATAATGGAATTCAGAATTACATTTATGGCTGCATCTGTCTGGATATATTCCATCTCTCTGTTTGGTAGTCCAATCTCTCCCCCAGCTCGATGCACAGTACTGACAATTCCTGCTGTTATTGTATTACTCAGCTGGAGAGGGCTGCCCATTGCCACAACCCATTCTCCAGGTCTTATTGAAGATGATGAACCAAGGGTTAGAGTTGGAAACTTAAGATCCTGAAAGAAATAAAACAGAACAAGTTACATGTTTTTGGAATTGTAGTCCATGGAAAATATTACTGCGCTGTCTGTTAGCTAACTACCTAAAGCATCTGGGATAAGTTACTTCAATGAAGACTTCATATTGTGACCTTTGTTAGAGAAGACACCATCTCCACCTCCTCATACGATGATGGAATAAGAGTTTGTGTCTGAGTTTGTATCAAATCACTTGCCATTAGTTCATGCCTTCAAAACTTTTCCCTGCTCTTCCAACATTCTAGGTGGTTATTGTGTCTACCTAATATACCAGAAAAATTAATGCATACTACCAATCTAATTGCATTGCAAATTAATGCATTGCAAGGTTGTATGAGTACATCATATTCAAAGGTTTTACCCCTGCTCTCACTCCTTGGGGGGTGTACTTGAGTAGGTCTAATTTTAAGTGGATATGTTCCACCCAAGTCAAAATAAATCATTGCTGTTAATTCAAATCTTTGATGCGTTTGAAATTTTCCCATCCTAGGAATAGTTTTCGATATGGATACCCTGTTCTAGATAACAAGACCCAGGTGGACAAAATTATTAGAAACAACATGTTGATAAAAACTTTCAATTAATTGAAACGTGTTGATGAAAACTTTCATTTTAATGTCCACGGGTACTTTGAGGGGAGTAACCCCAGGGTCTAACCACCCTGCCAGTATAATAACTTATCCTTTCTGACCTAAAAGTACAAATTTTCGACCAATCATGGCAGGCTTTTTCTGTAACAATTTCAAGTATCAGGTTCATAGGTTAAACAGGCTGATGTAAACGCTAAAGGCAGGAACATGCATGCTCAAAGCACAAATTTCTAGAGAGGTTCAGGGGCATGACCTCCCTCTAGAAATTTTTGAAACTGGACTCTCTGAAATGTTATTTCCTGCATATTTCCAGGGACCGAAATTGTTAACAGGGAAGCTTTTTTAAGGCATTAAAAAATGCTCACAAAATTCCGAAATTTAAGAAAAAATATACAGGATAATCCCAGAGCTAATAGATGCTTTTCTTTACTTTAAATAATTTTCACCAAGTTCTGTTATTCCATGAAGATCACTACTGTTTTAATAATTATTTCTTGTGAACTGC